GGCTCCAGGATTTACGACAAACAGCTCAGACCCACAGAGAATAAACTCGTGGTCTATATGTCAATGGGCGAGGGCTCACACAACTATCATCACGCTTTTCCCGTATGTTTTGTTTGCTTGCTTATTAATAATAAGTTATTATTTTCTCCCTAGTGTAATCAGGGTATAACATGTTCGGTCATTGAATTACTACTGTTATGAGAATTTTATTAGTATTTTTCTATTATATTACTTGTGGTTAACTGTAGATAAGTATAGGCTTTACGCTTAAATCAGGGCTTAAATGTGAAAATGACTATTACTTAATAAAAATAACAAAACAAAAATAATAATGATGTGTGTTATATTTGCAGTGGGACTATACGACCAGTTATCACAAATGGTATGAGAGCTATAATTTGGCCACACTTTTCATACTCATCTCATCGCTCGTCGGTTTGGCTTATGATATGAAACGACCGAAAAAGGATACGATTCTGCAATACGTCGAGAAAAAAGGAGATATTCTTGAAGTGAATCTCATTCATAAGAAACATATAATAATCCGTTTGATTATCGGTCTCTTTGATTGGATTATGGGATGTATAGTGACTTCATGGCCCATATGGTCAATATTGGTCATTAAGATTGCATTAGGTCAGGAGTGGTGGTTCTTTGATTGCAATGATTTCATATTCATCAAGTATAATTGGTTTTGAGCTTATTATTGCTTCATGGTTTAATATAATTAAATTGATCTTTTAAAAATACATAAACCAATAATTTCAATGCATATCGTAATTAAAAACATGATTAATTGTAACTTTAATTGTAATAGCGATTAGAAAATGGTTTACATAATCCAACATGCCATCTTTGCTATTTATAACTCTCATGTACTATTTTATTTAATAAAATAGTTAAGTATTTAATAAGGGTAATTGAAAATAAAAACCCTAATCCTCTGACTTCACTTTTACTGTACTGTATATGACTTAAAAATAAATGTTTTAAAATTCTATATGAAATTAATTTTTATTTAATTGTGATACTTATGTATTTCCTGTTTTATATAAAGGTAAAAACATTTAAAAAGATCAGGATATGATTGTAAATGCATTTTATTTTAAATTTATTCATAAGGTTTTTAATGTGAAAAGATGTAAAATGCTATAAAAATCTAACAATTGATTGTTATTATGAAATTTAAGCCATATTTTTATTAGACATTAGTATAATATTTCACATTTATGTAATTTTTTCCATACAATTTAATATTATTTAAAATTTATTGAAAGAAACCAAATAATTGGGTCATAAATAAAGAAAATCAATTTCATCAACAATTTTTCATAAATCACATCTCAATTTACACTTTAATATTAAGTTTTCTTTTTATTTAAATTTAATAGATTTTTCCAATCCTTGACATGAAATATAAGAATAATATTTGTATATTTGAAAACAAATGTTATGTCAAGTATGAGAGAGTGAGAGAGACAGAGTTAGAGAGAGAGAGAGAGAGAGAGAGAGAGACGTATAAAAGAAAGGCAGAAAAAATTATTCGCTGCACTGTTTTTGTCTGCTTTTTTCTTGTGATTAATGACCGATATTTTGCACATTCACTGTATGTTTGNTATTTATGACAGATATTCTTGTCATTTATGATCATCACTCTATAGACAAATGTACTTTTGCTTCTAATTTTAGGTGTAATTGCATAGAAACGGTACATAAAGTTCCTATAAAGTTATAATCTAAGATCCTGTTTGCCAGAACATTTTTGAGATGCTCTGTTGATCAGGATCTCGGTGGTGCCTCCATAATTGTCACGTATAAAAACTGTCCAATTGAATTTTGTCATCGAAACAATCATTCAAAGGTGGCGCGCATTAATTAATCAAAGTCTTTAAGTAATTATGTCTTAATTAGTCACTGTACTTATTACAGGACGTAATCTATTCCTCATGAACAGTTTTTGGTGACGAGTTCTTTTAATAGTATTAACTCGAAGTGAGAGAGAAGCTTAAGATAAAAATCTTTCAATTTTATAACATTAATGACATGGACTCGTTGTGAGACATATTTCTGGGAATTAAAAGACACAAATACACCGATGAATACAATTTTTACTTTGTATGCAAAGATGCTGAATGTGTTGAGAATAGGGCACTAGATATATAGACTACAGTATGTAAAGACTTTTATAAAATACTAAGAAGATGTGGGCAAATGAATGATGGGGTGAACACAACCATTAATTCTGTACTGAATATACTGTACTTATTATATGTATTTTTATCACAACACTCGAGGCTATTGAGAGGGCATTTCTTAATGTACTTTTTCAATGAAAACTTTGATTTTTTACGCTTTCCCTTAAAAATTAATACAATATTTAAAGTAATATCATGTGTAAAAGATATGTACAGTACATACGTACGTACAGTATTAATGTTAATTCAATCTCAATTGTTATTGATTTTAACAAATAAATCAATGGTTTTCTAAATTGACAGTTATATCGAGTCCTAGAATAATGTACTAAAAAAATACTTTATACTGAAAATCCTCAAAACTTTTAATGTATAAAAATGTATTTTAATTAAATAATTCTCTGGAAATAGATTTAATCAAACATTTTTTTGGCAAAAACAACGTAAAGGCCCCAAAGCTTTATAGTGTATTTATAAAAGGCTTTGTAAACGTTAATATTAATTTATCCAGATTATAGTCCCGGGATTTTCACGATGTTTTTGTGATTTATATTTTGATTAATAGTATTTTGAAATATAATTTAATTTATACAATATTAATAAGATATATACTGTACTTATTATATGTATTTTTATCACAACACTCGAGGCTATTGAGAGGGCATTTCTTAATGTACTTTTTCAATGAAAACTTTGATTTTTTACGCTTTCCCTTAAAAATTAATACAATATTAAAGTAATATCATGTGTAAAAGATATGTACATACGTACGTACAGTATTAATGTTAATTCAATCTCAATTGTTATTGATTTCAACAAATAAATCAATGGTTTTCTAAATTGACAGTTATATCGAGTCCTAGAATAATGTACTAAAAAATACTTTATACTGAAAATTCTCAAAACTTTTAATGTATAAAAATGTATTTTAATTTAATAATTCTCTGGAAATAGATTTAATCAAACATTTATTTGGCAAAAACAACGTAAAGGCCCCAAAGCTTTATGGTGTATTTATATGAGGCTTTGTAAACGTTAATATTAATTTATCCAGATTATAGTCCCGGGATTTTCACGATGTTTTTGTGATTTATATTTTGATTAATAGTATTTTGAAATATAATTTAATTTATACAATATTAATAAGAAAATCTTAAATTATTAGCAATTTAACAGTAATATATTAATTGGTTTTGCGTAGTGTTACTATAAAAAATAAAAGTTTATTTTTAAACAACAACAAAAAATCTGATTTCTTATACACTTCATGAAAAATAATTAATAGGTTTCACAATAAACGAAAACAATTAAACCTAAATGGTATGTTTGAGTTGTATAAATCATGTAGGTTGCACAGGGAAGTAATGAGCTAAAGTAAATTAAATTAGTGTTCTGTATGTGTTTTTCCAAACGATGACACTTTATTTTTAATTTACAAACAATTTTACACTCGTATCGCAAACTCTTTAATTGATAATAACTTTTATAATTTAATTCAATTGAAATGTATAGAAAGTGTTTGCAATTATTGGCCAAAATAATGGCCGAAAACAAAGAACAAGAAGTAATTGACATAAAAGAGGATAATTTGGATGAATTAGAGGGCGAATCGTGTGAAGACGACATCGATTTAGACAATAATAACCAAAATAATGACCAAAAAATAAAACAATGCGACAGTAATAAGGGATTCACTATATTTGGCTATTCGTGGCGACAAATAAAGTGGCGAAACGTTGTATTCCTAACTTTGATGCATATTCTGGCCGTTTATGGTTACTATCACTGTATAGTTGTGCCCATTAAAGCACTTACCGTCACATTTATCTATATAATCTCATGCGCTTCGGGAATAGGTCTGACCATCACATTATCAACACACCTATCGCTATAACTAATGTAACTATTATTTTGAAACTGATAGGCATTTTGGTGGGCTCTCACCGTCTATGGGCCCACCGGTCGTTCAAAGCCCGATGGCCTCTACGGGTTGTACTCATGATTCTGCAGACAATGGCCGTAAACGGGAGTGTATTCTCGTACGTCAGGGACCACCGGACTCACCATAAATGGTCGGACAGTGTGGCCGATCCCAAGAACTCTCAACGAGGTTTCTTCTTTGCTCACATGGGTTGGTGGCTCCTCAAGAAGGACCCCAAAGTGGTTCAATTCGGCCAAAAACTGTCCTACACTGACCTCATGGACGACCCGATCGTGAAGTTTCAGCACCGCTTCTACACACCGCTGGCCATTATCTTCTGTTACATTCTTCCGACACTCGTTCCTCTGCTGTGGAGCGAAGACGTGTTGACGGCGTTTGTCTCGTGTGTCGGCATACGAGCGGTGGTTGTGTTGCACCACATGTGGACAGTGAACAGTATCGCCCATATCGTCGGCTCCAGGATTTACGACAAACAGCTCAGACCCACAGAGAATAAACTCGTGGTCTATATGTCAATGGGCGAGGGCTCACACAACTATCATCACGCTTTTCCCGTATGTTTTGTTTGCTTGCTTATTA